ACCCCGCCGACCCAGCGCACGCACTCACTCACTCACTCACTCACTCAATCGCGCTCTCTCTCTCTCTCTCTCTCTCTCGCAACCAACCCGCGCATCCCATCACAACCACTAATACGCCCTTACCGCGACGAATACGCGCATACATGGAACTTGTGTCCTTCAAAACACGATTGCAGCCAAACACGCACTATTGGGTCAATTTACTATATACGTGCCTTTGTTATAACGTGTGACTTTTCTTTTCGCTTCTATTGCTTTGGGGTTTCGAAGCTGTCTGCTATTAAGCCACGTTAATTACTTAACAATTTTAATTCGATATCTATTGGCGGCAATTCCACTTATTCCATTAGCCTTAATCCCCATATTTATTTTATCTATACGATCAAACAAAAGGCAGGATAAAACACTTGTTTACCGTAGATTGGCCTCTGCCTATAATGGATTCACAGACACTGACTGAAGCTCTTGGTTACTATTCGTTAAATTATATATTCGCGTAGGGAGGAAGTACGAAAATATGGACAGTTGATTGAGAATTTTATTTATGGAAACGAAGATTAAAGCAAAAGCGTATACTTAGGCTCAGTCATGTTAATGCGATTTTACAAACACAAAGTGCGCCTTAGGTGCGATGAGAAATTTGTTCTCTTTGTGTTATGCATCGACACTTTCATTACGGTGGCTGTATAAAAATACGTACACGATATTGTAGATATCAAATCATGTTTATGCGCAGTGCCGAAAGCTTGCATTTAAAAATAGATTTTTTTTCTTCGTATACGAATAGAGATACGTTAATAAAATAATTGCATGATCTTACTATCTTACAATAGCGTGAACGCACACGTACGCAAGCACGCGCGCATTCATATACGTGCATACATGCGAGCGAGCGTGCGCGCACACAGACGAACGGAAGCACGCACGCACGCACGCACGCATGTAACACCGGCGTAAGAAAATGTGCATTCGGTTCCCTAATAATTGACCGTATCTGACCGAGCCTTACAAGCTGCACAAAAATTAGCCAAGTAGAAGAAACTTAAATACATCGCGTTATTCCTTACTTTTCTCTCCTTCCCTCGACAAGGAGGGAGAATCCGTCTCGTTCTCTCTCGTTGACTGGAAATTACTAGAAGCGAGAGAGAATACGCGACACGTCCCTTCTCTTTCAAGTCGTAGATGTTGACGACTCAGCGTCCGGCGCGCTACTAACCGGACTAATTTACTGACTAAGGCTAACAGCGGTATTTTGCCGCCGACGGCAGGAGTTCAGGACTCGAAGACACGGCCGCTGTAGACGACTGACAAAAGGGGGACCATGTCTTTTCTCTCTTGAAAAAAATATTAATAATACGTGTGCCATAAACACAATTTTCAAATTAGAATACAAGTACTTGGTCTCTTCTTATATTTTTCTATTTGTTTGTTGTTTTTTTTTTTCTATTATTACTATCAAGCGAAAATTTTGAATGTTTCGGTATATGAATAAAAGATGAGGTTAAGTAAATTTTCGAAATAATAAAAAAAAAGAGAATATTTTCTGGAGTTTCTTTGATCACCGTAGTATGGCATTTTCCATGCGTGCGCACATCGGCGTTTGCGTCTGCGCCGACATAATGGCCGCCCTTCCAGAAGATGACCGGGTATTTTATTGAAATTTGAAAAGCATAAATTGGCTAAATTTCTCCACCATCGCGGTACAACCAAGCTGTGGCTCGTTTTCACAGAATACTCGATAACCTTCATCTTAATGCTATGGTAAAGGTGTACAGGCTATTACGAAAGTCCCTCAAAGTAACATTATCATTCTTAAATAAGTCACATTGATTAAGTGGGGTATTACATTAATTTAGAGTAATATATAATCGATCAACTTGCTCGCGAACACCAATCAATTTTGCGAAAGTGAATGGTGTATCGCAACAATGGGCGACGCACGGCTAGGCCAGTCGAACGATTTAATAAATATTTCGAGAGGTTAAGTATTTTCGATTGCAGCGACGCGAGCCCCACGGCATTTAAATTCGCGAACTAAAGTAAGTACACACCCATACATCGAGGAAAATCATCTGCGGGGTGCGCGAGTTGCGCAGCGCAACTGTCATTTTCCGCAACTGTGTGTGTCCCTCTCCTCCTGTCTTTTATTCTCCTCTTGGGAGTCTTCTCGATTGCTGACAGTCTCGGACTCTCGGACTCTTAGACTTTTGGTTCAGCTCATCGTGTGTCGGCTTAACTCGCGCAACGCCTGAGTCAACGAAGATAGAAAGCGGCTCGAGCTGCAAATTCATTGCGAGATACAGCACGATCGTATTCAACAGACACTTTAAATGCCTATCGAATCACCCTTCTTATCCTAAAGAGCTCCTGAACAATTTATCACCAGGTACGTACTCCTTATTATACATGTATATATATATATATATATATTTATTTATTTATTTATTCCCTCGTTAAGTTCAAGCTTTTTCATTTGTAGATATATTTATTTGGCCGATTCTCAGCTTTGGCCTTTAAATTAACGCTACTGAAATATTAATAATTGATAAATTCCACATTCACAACTGAAAAAGTACGTTTTATTTACTAATAAAAATTCACAACGTAATTTCGGATAATGTTTAAGGTTGAAATACGTGCAAATGGAGAAAGGACATACTTTTCGTCTCATTTTCATTCTTCTCTCCCCTTCATCCGTCTCCATATCGCTACTCTCATTCTCTCTTCCTCTCTCTCTCTCTCTCTCTCTCTCTCTCTTTCTCTCTTCTCCTTCTCCTATCCCTCTTCTATCCCTCTCCTGACCATTCTTCCCACTTTCCATTCTCGCTTCATCCTACTCTCTCCCTCTCCCTCATCCTCTCTCTCTCTCTATTTCTATCTCTAGTTCTATATTCTTCAACTTATTACTATATCCCACAAACTGTAAGAACATAATATACACGTACATTTTTGACAATCTATAAAAGAAACGCTTAACACTCACAACTTAATTTCATTAATTTCGTGATATTTTCAATTCCGATAAAGATTGTGTTCTAAGAAATTTCAGCACATTTTTAAAGCTTGAAAAATTGCTGATCTCTATTTTTCTATGTGTATATTACGTGTGTACGTGTTCGATGGTCGTCTACTTTGCCTTCCGCTGCATCTGTTTCATCTGTAAAGAAAACACAAAAGTCAGATCAACTTTTTTCGCTATTTCACTAACAAATTAATATCTATGAAATTAGAATATTCTCTAACATATCTAGACTATCATTTTACAATTGTAAAGATTCTTATTATACTTTACATATGAATTTTGAAAAGCTCAAAAACATTTGATGTAAGTTTAATTTTTACTAAAAAATCAGTCTAAATAATAAGATGTAAGTAACAATTATCATTATAATTGATGATTATCAACTTTTATTATATTTAAAAGTAAAAAGCGCTCTTTGCAACAGTTTATTAATAGAAATATTTGATAGTTATTAAATTTTTAATTATTAGAACTTAATTTTAAAAAGTACCAAAATAACATTTAATTTTTAATTACACAGTCATATTTATCAAAGTGTGGGTAATATTAAACACCTTTAAACGCTTATAAAGATAGATAATTTATTATGACATTCTTTAAATAGGAGTTACTAATTAGTTGAGTTTTATTTTCAATTTTAATGATATAAAGCACGTAGCAACTTATAGATGTTACATTGGTTACATACATACATTGGTTTTAGTAAATCAAATTTTTATATTTATGCAAATAGTTTATCTTTATCATTGAATATATGAGTCTTACCTTAACTATAATTTTATTCTCTATTCTAGGATGGCACATAGTTCTCAAAATTATGGATCTACCGATCAGAGAACTGATGTACCTGATGTGGGCTTCAGTCCAACAGAACTTTATAGTCTAAGTGAAAATATAACAACAAATATCTATACAATTAATACAAGTTATAGAACCTTAGATCGTGCTTTCAAGCACATTGGTACAAATAAAGATAATCAGGGTCTCAGGGATAAAGTGTGAGTTAAATTGTTACAAATTTATTTGTATTTAAGATCGCTTCAATTTTATACTTTAATCTTTCATAGTATTAATCTACAAAATGACTAATAATTTTCTTATCCTTTTTCAAGGCATGTGGCACAGTTAAGCACAAATCAAGTGGTGACTCAAACAAGTAAAAATATTGCACGACTGACAGTTCTGATGAGACGAGGTGATAAACAACAAAAGTTACAAATTGAAAAACTTACGAGTGATTTTAAAGATGCCTTGCAAAAATATTCTGATATGCAAAGAGTAAGTTAAAATATTTATTTACATTTTGCAAGCGGATATATATATATATATATATATATATATATATATATAAAGCGCATACATCAAATATAAAGTGCATATTTGTTTGCATATTCGCAAATACATAAACTAATTGGTAATTAAAATTCCATTAGTTAAAGTACTCTAAATCTTTTATTACATTTAAATGATATTTTAATTATACTTAAGATAATTAAAAGAAATAAAGCTTAACATACATCTAAATAGTAACTATGAGTTTGTAAAAATTAAAATATCTTCTAAATTTTTTATCGTGAAAAAGACTAATAGATTAAAATTCTTTATATGCATTGTAAATTATATTTTGGTTTTGTGTGATATAATATATTTTCTTCTTATTGGTTCCAATGTAATTTAAATACAATTTAGAGTGTATTGAAATCACATCTGTTGTTAAATTAAGAAAAAACAAAATTAATTTTCAAAAAAGTATAATTTTTCTAATGAAAACATTTTGTGAAATGTTTATAGTCAATTGCTGATAAAATGAAGAGGCACATACTGGTTATAAGTAGTATAGAAACTCGTGGTGATGAGGAAGAAGATGACAAGGAAAGTTTGATTCAGATTCAAGAGGATACTAAACGAAAAGCTAAGCAAAGGTTAGGTTTATTTATAGAAAGATCATGCATTCTAAAATTTCGGTTTCACATCAATCCTTTCTTTTATCAAAGTCGTCCAATCATTCTTTCACTTCAAACAACATTATCGATGCTTTTTTATAGCTTAACTTACACTGCTTATACTAAGTCTAACACCCAGTATAAAAAAAAAAATTATCTGCATGGCTACAAATGAGTAATAAGCATGGATTACGAGTGGATGTTGCCGTGTAACATTTTCACGAAAAATGCGTAATCAGACATTTTTAAAGTATGAAAAATATTTTAAGAGAGGTAAGTCTTCGCGCGGTAGTAGGTTCTGAGCAGGATATATTTTAATACTTCTCAAATTTGCAAAATATACACATATATGTCTTTTACAGAGCATTGGAATTCGATCACGGATTAATTTTGGATCAAGAAGAAAGGATAAAACGAATCGAAGGAGACATTTTAGATGTGAATCAGGTCATGAGGGAGCTTGGAGCTCTTGTGCATCAACAAGCAGAATCAATTAGTAAGAATTTTATTTAATTTAAATAAATAAATAAGTAAATATATATATATATATATATACATATATATATATATATATAACAAAAAATGTAAATACCAATCATTCATAATGAAAATTTAAATGAAATCTACATTATTCCATTTTCTCTAAAAAATACATGTTCGATATAATATTTCTTTATTTCTTTATTCTATTTTATTTGTAAAAAAGATATATTAATGATGATTATATAAATATATTTAATATTTTTCTGCAGGTAATATCGAAAATAATATCGAAAGTGTACATGACCATGTTGAATTAGGAACACAGGAATTAATAAAGGCTAGTAATTACCAAAGTAAATTTCGACGAAAAGTTTGTGTTCTCTTGACTGTAGTTATTGCTTTTGTGATTATTTTGATACTGTGCATGGTTTTAGCTAATAAATCAAGTTAGCGCTTCTAGATGTTCTAAGTAGCTGTAGAAAGTCGAATGTGGTTGTCTCAATCTATTGCAATGACTCGTTTTAAAAGAGTTCTGTCCATTATAAAGTATGATATTGCCAATTTTTATTGACTTTGCGAATACATAATACGCAACAAAAAAAGATCAGAGACTTATTAGAAGAAGTAAAGAATGACTTTCTACATTTAAGCTACAATGACTTGAAATTGGGCAATTGTACGAAAAAGGTGCGTTTAATTCTATTCAATCTTCATGTGAATTAGATAGGTATAATATCAAATGATAAAATTGTGGTATGAATAATTTATCGTTCGATCTCTGTTAATGAATTTATGAAAAATCAGTGATTTAGAAAATTAACTATTCATGAATTGTAGGTTAAGTTTATAATGAAATAGATTACTGTAATCAAATTCAAAATTACTTTATCGTATTTTTAATTAGATTTAATTATTAGAGTTTAAATTTATTAAATCAATAATATTTCATCCATGAATTTTATTCTATATATTTCATTTTAATGGAATGTAAGAAAAGTATATTTTTCTAGAATTCACAGCAACTAATACAGCAGTTGAATATTTGTTCTCTGTAAAAGAATAATTTTCACTGAAAATTTACTCAAAGATATTTATATCATTATCATATTATAATGATTTTTTTTATAACGACATGAATATTACTTTTGCTAAAAATTATTTGCACTTTTTATCAACTTATGCAATTAATTATTCGTTCTAATATGTTAAAGGTAATAATTTCTTTAACATAATGTCTTATACGTAAATGATTGCGTTAGGTATATTTTTTAGTTTTTTTTTTTTTTTTAATAATTGTGTTATAATTATATGTGAGGCGTTTATTCTTTTAGAAAGAAAATATTGTTCAACATGATAAAACAGCGTTTAAAGTTGTAGTGATTCGCTATAGTAAGCTTTGAAAATAGAAAGGCAGCCAGGGGCTGAACCAAATGTGTATTGCCTTGATATTATATGTATTTTATCCATACACTCATAAATTTGTTAAAAAGTGATAAATCGATAGCCGTTAAAGGAAATGTGCCTATTTCAGTTTTTCTTTTTGTGTAAAATCCTTGTAATTCAAGAATTTATCCTTAATTTAGCGGCTATCGACCTTACTGTGAAATTCTAATAAAATACCTTTGTTATTTATGTATTAGAAAACTAAAGTAAGTTGAATGTGTTTGCTTTATAAGACACTGTGATTTGAAAGCATGACATATGGGATACGAGCATCTCATATAAGAAACAGAGTTATGAATGTAAGACTTTCCTCCGTTAATAAAGTCTCTTCAATCATCGTAAATTAAAATTAAAATTAATACTTTACATTAGTTTAATGCGTTACAAATGCATGGCAACGATATTTTTGATGAGCATCATCTTAAACAAAATGTGATCATGATAAAGGTTGACAAAAGATATTCACATTTTGTGCTACATTCAATCACTATTTTAAGAAATATATTTGATTGCTGCTTAGTATATTATGTTATCTGTCATGCCAAGAGCAAGAAAATAAATTTTGAATGATTGAGACAGCCAGTTTTTTTTTAAAAAAAAAGGCCCAATCGACTTTTATATATATATATAATAATAAATATTAGGCATTCCAGATTTCAATTTCATCAATTACACTGTATTATGAGAAAAAGTAAAAAATTGTATATACAACTTATTAATATTGCTCCGAATAAATGACATCAAACAATAACCGTATAAACATTAAACGATTCTTCATATACTTTTAAATGTATATGTATATTTGTACACATAGATCGTAAAACCTTGTAACAAAAATACGCTTTGAATCTTAATGTTGAGCAGGTCTTATCTCGGCCGATCATTGATAAAAAAAAAAGAACGAGAGCTTAAAAGTAGGCGAAATTATAATCAAAAAGAGGCAAGAATTTTATACTTTGAGAACTTGGATTTGCATCGATGATAAAAAGTACCAACTAATGAATCTTCTTTTGTATATTTCAACGTGAAAATACTAAAAATAATTGAGCACACACACACATGCAATTATACAATAATAAGTGAATGCAATTTGTCCTATTATTGTTTTGATTGCATTTATAAGTTTATCATATTTTAATGAGCCATTGTAAAGAAAAAAAAAAATTAATAAATAAATAAATAAAAAAAACTACAAATAATTATTTTTTTAATGTATCTTTACATTGAAATTTCTTACAACTCAGAAATTATAATGAGCATATATAAAAGAATTACGTAAAAACTTTTTACATCGATAAAACTCAGTCGAAAACTTAACATTGTGAGTAATGTTATAATAAATACTTAAACATCGCAATAAAAAAATCTATTCAAATAGTAGATCTTGAGTTTATTTTACGCTTTGCGGTCTTCTGGCTTTTATTCTAGCTTGTAATGTTAAAAGAAGACCAGCAAGAACATCGTGATTTGGTAGTTTTTTAGCAAATAATAATCTCTTTACCGAATCATCATACGTAAGAAGTTCTACCATATTTTGCAGCAAAAATCCTTGACAGTATTCGAGTAATTGTACGGCATTATAAACCTAAAAGCATATTTTAATACAATTGATTATAATTGAAAATGTCTGCACTATTTCAACATTAACGGTAAAATAATATGAGCATTTAAAACACCGCAAACGTATGTTTAAATAACGCCTGAGAGTGCTCGACTTATTTACTATGTGCAATTATGCCAATATTATGGGCGTTTAATGTTTGTGCAAAAGTCGTCGTACCCTTTTCGTTGCAACATATCATATTCAACACCAATAACAAAATTCAGAATAACATTTGGAATGGGTATTACCTTTGCATGAATGTACATGGACACGATATTGTCGAGATCAACCATCGCGGAACATTGTGCTTCGCAGAAACGTAATAAGCCGTCCAACTGGAAGAAATTTGCAGCCGCCATCAATTCTAGAACGTCGCTTTGATTGACGTCTAGCGTCGCGCATCCACCGTGATATAAAAATTCCATGACCAACTTTAAAGCCGATAATTTAAATTAAGCATAATGATGATGATCATAAATAATGCAAGACTATGTCACATTACCTGGAAAATATGGTATCGAATATCGTTAATTTGGACAATAGGTGGATTTCCTTCGCACAGCTTGGAACTCAACATATTTCTAAATCTCGGAGACGATGTGACGAGAACGATCTTATGACCATAAAACACTCGGCCTTCCACCCGGAATTGAACGTCACTCAATTCTGGATTATTAACGAACTTTGGATCTATTCTCGATCCACTCGATAGAGTCGTATCTCGAATCGGCTTTATCGGCTCCCAGCCAAAACAGGTACAAAATATATCCGCTAATAATAGCGTCGTACCTTCCTTCTAAAAATAAGTACCAATAATTTCGTCGCATATGCCTCGCTAATGTTAAAACAAAATCCTTCGATAATTACATTGTCGATCGTAGATACCTTGCTGTATCGAAATATATTGAAGAGTAAGGGAAGGCATTCTTGAACGAATTGCGTGGAATAAAGGTCGGGGCAAACTTGAAGGAAGTCGTGCAAAAGCTGATCGATGACGGAATCTATTCGCATCTCGTGGGCTGTAGAGAGGCTGTGCATCCAGCAATGCAACGTCCACGGAACTGCCAGCCCTCGCAGCTCCATCGTTATGTCTGTAACCCGATTGGCTATCGTCAATTACCCCATAGCGATAACCCATCGATCTATCGATGCTCCATACGGCATCCGCCCAACCGCCAACCAGCCAACCACATCGATATTACGCATATTACCCAAATGATTGCACTCGACACTGTGATACATGGCCTCTTGAAGTGCTTTATTTTGAACTTTGCTGAATACCGGCTCGTTACCATCCCTCTGGCTCCCCCGGTCGTCCAGTCCGTGCTGCTGCACCGTGCCCGAGTTACCCTCCGCGAGTATCTCCTCCAGCGACAGCACCTCCTTCTCGCCTCGTCTAGCGGAGAAATTGAGCGGATGGGAGAGCAGCTGGTGCAGGCAGCCCCGCTGCCCGTGCGCCGTTGCCACGGATATAGCGCTGTCAAATTTTCAAACAATTATTAATTTCACGCGGTCTTAGGACCGCCCGCTCACCGTCTCAACATCGCAATACCTGTAGCAGCCGCGCTGAGCCGAGCCGGAATAGCAGAAGGTGTCTTTGACCAAGGTGAATAGAAAGGGTTGGGCCCCGTGAGCCAACAGCAGCCCTACCATCTCGTTATTCCCAGAGGCGGTGGCCGCCTGTAATGGAGTTATCGTCGACTTGTCCTCGCTGAGCTTCGCGCCACCCTCCACGGCCGCGCCACGCTCCAATAATATCCTGGCGATGTTGCAATGGCCTATGAGGGCTGCATAAGTCAGTGCTGTCCAGTGCTGAGTCTCCGCATAAAAACCCTAAGAGCGTTTTTTATTAGGCAGAGCTGTTGAGGCGTTCGAGATATCGAGGGTAGTGCGGACGCGAGAGTGAACATTGCATCATTACCACTGGGCTCGTTTGCGACTGATAATTGTTATTCTGATTGGAAGTGCCGCTCAGCGAACCCGAGGAGGCGCTGAGATTCGCGCACTTGTTGGGGCTCGGTGTCGAGGACTGGCAAACGATGCTCCTCGAATTCGACGAGCCGACGATTAAGGGATACCTCGTCGGTGTTACGGAGGACTGACTCGCCGCTGGAGCTGGACTTTCGACATTGGGATCGGCACCTGCGTCTATGAGCGCCAGCACGGCGCTTTCGTTCCCGTTGATGCACACGAGCATGAGCGCGGTGAAGCCACTGTCGTTGACCGTGTTGAGTTTCGTCGCCGGCAAAAACGCCAGTGCCTGGGATATCAGCTCGGGTCGACCGCTGGTTAACAGCTTGAAGGCCATTTCCAGGCTGAAACGGCGAACGTACTCCGAGTCGTCGATTCTATTCGAGCTAATGGTCACCTCGTCGGAGCTGAAAGCACGACAACGATTGTGTGTGAGATGCAATCGCCTGATTAGCCTTCGAGTTCATTAGCCATTGTCCCATTACACCCCCGCGGATTACAATAACGAGAGCGAGTTGTTCCTTTCGTCTTCCCCACCATCAAACCCCTCCCTCCCCAAGGGCGGCCCAGAAGTTGCTGCGTGCCGAGCTTACGGAGCCGATATCCGTTATTAATGTCGTCAATAGCAATTGGTGGAGTGCAAGTGAGATGGTCTAACCAAATAAGCCTGACGGGGCAGTCGACACCGGGTAGTAGCAGCCTCGCTGCCTGGCCGATGTCGTCGTGGTCGACGAACTGGGCGTGTCTGTGCTCGGCGTGAGCACTCGCGACCCGCAGCCACTCGACCAGCGGCGGAAGCACGACGTATGCCCGCTCGTAGGCCAGCTCCTGGATCCCGGAGCCCCGCTCGCCATGTTCCAGCTGAAAGGACAATTGGGAGCTTAGGTGGAGCGCCGGGGATGTACTGGGACGAGCGACGGGGCACTCGAATACCTGAGAGCAGCGCATGTAGTAGAAGAGAGCGTTAAGGGCCTTGGCGGTGAGGGGCAGTAGACATCTGCCGGAATGAGCTAGTTTCGTGACGAGGTCGACGAGCTCTTGCATGGAGCCGACGCAGGTTGTGAGGAGCGAAGGCTCGAGGCTCTGGGCGTCCTTGCCGCTGCGCGACGAGCCCGAGGAACCGAGGGAGCTGACGCTCGCCCACCGCGGCATCGCCAGGGCCCCTGTCAAAGAGAACGTGAGCTTGGGCTCCGCGTGCCCACGATTTTCATAATGGTGGCGGTGGTAGGGACAAGGGGGGGCGTGGAGTTGGGGGATGGCTTACCCGAGGCGAGCCTGCCAGCGTTCAAGTGGGCGTAGGGTTGCAGGAGTCCCCAGAGGTCACCGCTGTTGGCGATCGCATGCTCGAGCATCGTCGCGGTGAGACTCGCCTGGGGCTCGCTCGGCACGCACTGCAGCACCATCTCCTCGAGGAGGTTCTCGATGCCGGCCGCGAGGTAGACAGCCGCGTACTCGTGAATCATGCGACCAAGCCTCACGTCCGACATCCAGCGCAGAAAGCGGCCCACCGGCAGTTGAAGGCCGGAGCGCGAACCCTTGGACTGCTTCAGCTGGTCGCCGGAGACCGCGAACATCGCCGCCGCCCTGAGGCAGGCCTGATTTGATGACGTGCAGATCATTAGGAAGTGCCGTCGGTAGTGGCCGCCGTGGGCCCGGACGGACGTACCTTAGTGCAGGAGTCGGCGAGGGCCGGGCAAAGTAAAATCTTGAAGGCGCTGTAGACCTCGTGCTTGCCACAGAGTCCGAGTGGCTTGGCCAGCCGCTGGATCTCACGGCCGACTCGGACGAGGGCGCGTTGCAGGAGATAGGATAGTCTCGGGACTGTCTCCATGGTCACCTGGGCCATGTGGTCGCGCGTCCGTCCGTTCTGCAGTACTCGCAGCACGTCATGATGAGTCCAGGGGAGCTGCTGGAGCTCGACGAGCCGATTGTGCGAGTCGACCCAGACGAACTCGTCGGCGCTCGTCACGTTGGTGTTGATGGTCTCGAGACTCGAGTGACGCATCAGCCGACGCACCGCGGGCTCCGAGCTCTCGGAGCCGCTCAATGACGAGTAGGTGGAGGTCGAGGTGTGCGAGCGCATCGTCAATTGCTGGATGGCGAGCTTGATGTCCTCGAGACCGGAACCGGACCAGGGAACCTGCAACTATCCAGGCGGCTTTAAGGGCTGATCCCCGTCCGGATGATGGGCCACGGCACCGAGTGTCGATGACTCGGTGATTCAGGAGGAGGAGGAGAAGGAGGAGGAGGAGATAGTTGAGGAGAGGAGTCGCGGAGGGGACGCTGAGCAGAGCATGAATTACCTTGGCGGGGATGGCGCGATGTCGATTGCGGCTCTGGCCGGTGCGGTTCCGGCCGTTTCTCTGGGTCACCGACGCCGAGAGTCGCTCGTCCTCGGGGACGCTGTTGAGCGCCTGTGGGCTGTGTGTGCGGTGCTGTCTGTGAGGCGGTGAGCTGCTGCTCGTGTGGCCTCCGGTGTCCGACATGCTCGCGTGACCCGATGAGCGGTTCTCGTCCGAGGAGCTGTTGCCCGTGCATTCCGGCCTCCGCTGAAAGCGCATCGGCCAGATTATTGACGGGAGACCGCGGATGATGATGGTGCGAACACTCGAGATTCGGTCTATTCGTACCCACCATCGCGGTACCTCTCTCTCACCAGCCCGATAATCCAAAACTTCCTAGTTATTCAACTAGGCACGTCCCTACCCAATTGTTGCTTTTCTTGTTTTCTTTTTATTGATTTTGTTTTTTTTTTTATCATTATTATTAACATAAATATACTATTATTGCTTTGCTCTTTGGTCGCTCATGACATCAGAACTTCCCGAAATCTGCCGCTCACGTAGTACTAATCCGCGGCTTTACCGGAACGTACGTGCATTGTATTATCCAAAGAAGCGCGCTCGAGTTATTGTCGTTAGTGATAGATGACGTACTCGATGGATTGATTAATAAATGTTTATGTTAAGATAGCGCATGGATACTCGTGCACTCGGTGCTTCTATCTAATTGGCTCGTTGCCAAGCGAACAAAAAAACGAAATGAACGACTCGCGCGCGTTGTGCGTGTGGGAAAAATCAGCATTTTAAGAGCGACAATCGTTAATAGTGCAGATAATGAGAAGAGAGCGAACCTGAAGTGCTCTTAGCTCGTGAAGGCTGAGATGATGATGCTGTGATTGATGGGGATGATGAGCGGTGGGCGTCGTCGGCGTCGGAGTTGGTGCGACGCTATCGGTGTCCCGCTCGGCTATCATGTGTACGGCATTAATCTTTGAAGAACCATTTGTGATGTCGTTCGTGTATGTAGGGACATACAAGTCACGGTTGCCTCCACTTGGCCTTTAGTAACATTTATAAGACAACATTAACGTTTTAATGTACGGCCAATGATTCCGTTTGCTTAAGAATTTTATATGAAGAACGTCCCTTTCGCAATGCTACGCTCTTAAGAATATAATTATTCTTATAAAGAAATTATTTTTCATGATCTAACTCGGTGAATATTATGATTTCTTATAAAGGTACATTCTCGTTGTTATGCTTCTTGACGCCATTAATGATACGCGCTTATTGGTAAGGGATTCAATCGGGAGAATATAAAGAATTGGCTCTCATTACGAATACTCGCTATGGTAAGTGCAGATGTGCTTGTCCATAATTGTAACGCTATCATATCGTGATATTGAAATTTCAATTTAATATTTTAATCACACTCGTACAACTCGATCGCTTGTATCATATCGATTGTAAAGTATAAATTATCAAATATCATAGTAATTCTATACACATTTAAAGCTATTAGACTATTATTGTCTATATTACCAAGAGTAAAAATTTCTGTGCATGTTATAAAACATTTGGCTTTCTTAAAACAAATTAATGTGTATTTAAAAAGAAGAATTTATTTCTCGAAGATTTATATGATAATAAATACAAGATTTTAATACAAGATACAACCCTAAAGATATATCTATGAAATTATAAAATTTTTTTTTTTAACCTATCTATATTATTAAGATATTTAATTTAAATATATATGTAATTTTTAATTCAACATGACGATTAAATGCAATAAATATTATTGTATAATCGGCAGTTTTTAATTTTTATACATAGATAATGTAATGTGTATAATTTATTTAAACAGAAAAATAATGTTCTTTGTGGTAATTTAAATTTTTTCTCAATTAGTAGCACTAAACTTAAATAAATATTGACATGTTCTTTCTAGTTTCTTACAGCATTCTATGATGATTTTTTTTTCTTTATCCAGGCTACAATTATCTTTTAATGAAGTATTTTTTTCTCTTTCTTTCATTTCATTATACGTAATTTCAAAATACGTAAGGAATTATTAACTAGCATTTTTGTTCACTAAAAATATTAATGATTTCAATAATAATATCAATGATAATAATAAAAATAATAAATGAAAATATAAGAAGAAGAAGAAGAAGAAGAAGAAGAATAAAGTGGAGATTAAAATTTTCAGCTTAAATTTATCTAAAACTATCCAGCGCGTGTGGATTATTAACCCTTCTAGAGAAAATCATTCGATCGAATGAAATTAAGTGAGCCATGAGGGGAGAATGATTCGGAAGTGTTAGTTATATTTTCATGAAATTCATGGGAATTTGACATGTGGTAGCGATTTGTCGGTACGCACAGGTGCGTCACGTGGTGTTGGGGTTACGCAAATAAATAATACTACTGGACACGCTTTCGACGAACACATTTACTCGACACCGCTCATGTCTCTTTTTCTTCCCCCCGCGACTCGAGTCGCCTTGTCAAATAATAACCCGTAAAAAATACACTTAAATCCTCGCACTACACGTAGAGCTCGAGGATACCGCGCAATTGTACTCGGCACGCTAGAATAACTAACTTCAGGATTTCTTTCAGCGATGAGCTATCAAATGAAAACTCAAAGTGACGGAAAATTTGTTACGCTCTTGAAAGGATAAAGCCTCGAGCAGAATTGCGACCCCATTACACGTATCGGGTGACTAAATCACCCAGGTAGGCGCGGAGGGTTCGGCGTGGATTACCCGCGCAAGCGCCACTGCTGCACGAAGCTCCAGTCGGCCTTGAAGCCGCTCGTATCACCGGGCAGTGACCAATACTCCTCGAGTTTGCTCTCCTCCTCCTCGATCCGCAGCACGTCCTCCCTGCACGGCTTTACACTCACGACGATCTCGCGCACGACTTCCTCGGGCCGGCCCTCCAAGGCCTCTTCCGTCTCCTCTCCCATCCTGACCTCGGCCTCCGACCGGGTGGAGACCGCGATATCCCCGGGTGGCGACTCGCGCTCCCTGCGACCCGTGTCCCCAAAGTAGACGACCGTTCTATGCTTGGGCTCGGGTTCCGGGTCCGAAGCCGCTGCTTCTTGCCATTCCTGCGTGGGCGCAAGGCTCACGAGGGGCAGCGCCCGACGTGGCACGAAGTTACCGAGGGATCCGGTGCTCATCGCGACTGAGCGCACGTGACTGCGCGCCCGGATACACGCCGGAGGTGCGCTACACGCGAGACCGCTTCCTAGCGACATATGGCGGGATTGGCTCGCGCGGGGTAGGAGAAGCCAGTGCTCGCTACTTCTTACTTACTTTCGCGCTTCCGCTCTGAGGCACTCACACTCTGGCCCTTCCCTCGCACGTTTTTCCCATTATCCGCATTTTCCGAGCTCACTCTCGATTTTACGGGTGCGCGCGCTTTGGCTGGCTTTGACCTCCTTCGCTACCGCAATTCCCTCGATTCGCCCTCTCTTCTTCCTGCACTTTCTCAGCGTTAATTGCTCGTCTTCCTCAAACGAGCACTGGTGCGCATTCTCCTCCACCTCCTCGCCACCCTCTACAGGCTCTCCCGCTCTCTTTCTCTCACTCTCTCACTCTCCTACTCTCTCACTCACTCACTCTCTCACTCTCTCATTCTCTCTCTCTCTCTCTCTCTCTCTCTGTCTCCCGTGCTCGCCTCTCCCCCACACCAGCCAAAAACCCTCTCGGTACATGTAATTTCGTCTTTAATTTATATTTTTTCAGACATTCGCGACGATTTCGACCCAACTCGAGTGGCTGATTAATGCACGATTTCGGAATGATAGTTAGTAGACGGGAAACTCGCATGAAATAAAGCAAAATGCTCTTTCCATTGCAGAACTCACTACCATTGAGTTACTTAAGAATGATGTACTTCCTATGTCCTGCTTACATCCTATATTATACTCCCAACGATTGTCCGAGCCCAGACCCGTGACGGGGCACCGTCCCGCAATAACTATTATATTATCGATATTATTATTTTTGTTACTCTCACGATTATTCATATATAAATATATATATATACTCACGCACATGCATGCTTTCATAGCTTTTGCGTGCGTGCAATGTGCAATCTTTTAAGACTTTTATTCGCTTCAAGAAACTTGACAATACATGGAGTTTTAAAGCGAAATGCTTCCACTTTTTAAAATGTTCTTAATTTTCAATGATATTAAAAAAAAAAACAAGAAAAACGAGCAAATTGAACGTACTGACAAGTCCAAATTTCGTATACGTTTGTGGAAATTTTCGGATCAATTTGCATTGGATAGAATACAATCACACAGTGCGTGCAATTTTAATAAAATAAAAAGCATTGCAATAACATTAAACACTTGCGAAATTCCAAAATAAATGTTCCGAATAACAAATTTACTCCCAAACTTTACAATATACTACAAAAATACATATGCAATATAGTTTATAATAATAAGCGAATCTTTCAACAACTCAGGCACTCTTGTTTAATCGTATCAGTAAGACTTTGTATACTTTTCATCTTACCACTTTTTTTTAACATTGTTTTTTTTTTTGCTTCATTTATCACGAATAATAATAAATGCTTGAGTGGTAAGATTTTTAAATTGGCACAAAGTGAATATTAAGAGTGGCCGAGAAGCGAATCATAAGCGTTCGTTTACAAGTACAAATCTTATAGCGACTAGATGGCCGAAGGAATAGCATTGCGTACACGGCGCCTCGCGTCCTTTGTAATCACCGAGGGCGTCGATGCCCCCGCATTGTCTGTGTTCACACGGCGAAACTCCGGTGTCAAGGGAGACTCGGCTTCCCCACCGCCAAAAATCATGTTCATCTTTTTGTCTTTCCGTTAGGTGTGGCAACAATGACCTCCCGGCTGCTGGTCATTTATTCCTTTTTTCCTTTTCATTCATTGACGCAACGATGAATGAGACTCTTGTGCCGTGTACACTCTTCCCTACAAATACCGTTCTGTACACTTTTTTAATGCATTACATCCGAGTCAGTTTTGTGGAGAGGGGGGCATAGTGAGCGTAAGTGACGTCTGTTTAACTGTGCGAACAACATTGTCGATAAACTTTCGAAAATAATATATGCGCTTTTGATGTAACTGAGAACATTACATTTGTCAACAATGAATAGAACGTGAAAATATAAGCGACGGCATAAGCCTGGAGTTTTCATTGAAAATGACTAATTATATATTTAATAAATATATATTTAATAAACTAATGTGCGTATAAAGTAAATTTTGTAACAGGCGTCTTTTAAAACTCGCTTACTAATTACAAAAATATCCCAAGAAGCTCGAAAGATGCGCACAAGTTGCGCGTGACACTCTGATTATTAACGACTTTCATTTCTCTCTCTCTCTCTCTCTCTCTCTCTCTCTCTGTCTCTCTCTACTTAGGATATTACGCAATAGATAGGTTATAAATTGATAAGATGAAAAAAAAATTATATGCAAATATATTTCACTAATAAACGGCACGTCATTGAGTAAATGTCATTAATGGAATAAAATAAAATAAAAAAAATTAAATTAAATTAACAGCGTACCTTCGGAATGTGATTTTATGTCATCAGAGTCAATTTTACAATTACTAATCATATAACAATCTAAAATTTGAATTGCCTTTATATTAAGATCGATTAAATTCTTACAATAGAGCCTATCAGGATAACAATAACTTTCCCTTACTTCTGAATAATAATCCAGAGAATTCGAAGATTCTTATTATTAAAAAAAAAAAGTAGCCTTATTTTTGTTTTATTTTGTTTTGTCTGTCTGTTCATTTGTTTGTTTTTGTTGTAAAGTAGATTAATATTAAATATCTACTACCTGCCAAGTAGTTTAGATTTGAAAAGCCATTCGTGTCTCGGTACATCGTCATTGCGCCTTCGGTATAATATGAAATAGAAAATGACTCGCTGATTTCGTGTGAAAAAGAGAGCAGGCATACGCACTCGATGGCTCTTAATTAGTCGTCTGAAAGTCGCGGAGATGTAAGACAAGGAAAGGGAAAGATCATAGAGGAAAGGAGAGACAACGTTCCTAATATTATGGGAACCGGGCGATCGAGATAATGCGCGTGGGATCAATTGCACCCAGCGAAAAGTTGATTTAGCCCGAGCGCCATGCCGACAATTTAGGCTAATGGCTCTTTTCGTTTCCATCCTTGTGGCGCTCTCTTTCTTCCTCGTTTATTCATTATATTTAATAATGCCGATATTTAAGGGACCGTGAATTTTCAGAAGGTCGCGAGGCACATGTTGAACTGAAAACACTCGATTAATTGCCAAGGCATTCGGTAGAGGTGGGATATTTAAGAGACTAAACGAATGAACGGATGAGCAGTTTTGCAGCTGTATTCTGTCAAAATAAATCTGATTGTCCATAGTCTCAGGTAGATTTTGAAATTTTTATCGAAACTGTAAAGACTTTGTTCAAATTATACTTAAAGAAATATTGATTGTTCAGTGCTTTGATTGTAGATAAGAATGTAAAGCAATTTCATGCTTCTTAAAGACATGTTCAAAATGGATTTTACTTAACAAGTTAGATAATGATAATAGTATGACAATGTTCTAAATAGACACATCTTATTAACGCTTATATTTTCAAAGAATACACGGACTTTTCACTCGTCGGTTTCCTATCAAAAGCTTTAGTGCATGGAGCATTAACTTTCGTTTTTTTTCAACGTTATAACGGGATTTTCACTGTCTCCGACGTTTCTTCTCTACTGGTATTATTAACATAGATGAGAACAAATTTATATTAATGGAGCGGATAAGGTATTATTAAATTCATTTCGCCCCTCCCACCCCTGTTTCCTTCTAATTACAAGGTTTCGAGTGAATAAAAATTTTAAACAACGACGCTTACGTTATAAACGTGCACTTATCGAATCATCTTACCTTCTAAATTGCTACTATATCATTAGCGAGTCCGAGTGTTATTTTCGTGTATCAAAGTCAGTTTAATTAAATAAACATACTCTTAATGGACCAAAGAAAATAATATTAACTAAGCAAATGCAGAAAAAATATGATTTTAGTAGACGCAACATTGCTCGAAGATTGCTATATTTCACATTTGTGTTTAGTAGTAACTAATTTACGGGCAAAGATAAATTTATTTTAATTTAAATTATTCTATATTATCTGAAATCACATCTTTAGTGCTAGTGTCTACATAAGATTCATCTTAACTATTATTGGTTAAAATTTAGTCCCTCGTAAAATGCTGAATACAACAAATTTACGACCACGAAATGTAAAGAATCGTTGCGTAAAAGGCATAGGCATGCATGGGTGCTTGTAAGCATGTGCTCGCCCGTGTGCCTACACACGCAGAAATTTTTAAACACGCGAGTTTTCGGGTGACCCGTGATCCTTATCGAATCGAACGGAATCACGATAATAAGACATAGTGTTCGAAGTGCGACCTACGATTGTTATCACAGAGGGCGTCAATCACGAAATTATTTCTTCTTCTTCGTTTTTTTTTCTTCTTTTTTCTTTTTTGTATCTTAATTCAGAAATCCCAATAGGAAAGAACCTGAGATGGAATCATAGTATTTGTATTGTTAACTAATTCGGCTCTTCAATGGGCGGGGAGTGGGTCCGTCGGGGGGGGGGGGGGGGGGGGGAGAGGACAAAAAATAGTATGAAATGTGCAGGTTGAATGCATCGACTGCAATTATTAATGGACAAGAAAAACGACATTCAACAAATAAGATCGATGCATATGTACGAACACGACAAACATTTATTACATAAGTTGCACTCGATAATTACAATAATTCATAAGAAAAAAAAAAAAATTCAATTAGATCTAGAAATCATAAGGCTCATTATTGTTTACATTGAAAACATATTTTTAACGTATTTCCTGACTATGCAATTACATCCATTACATACAAGCAGTGAAAATATAAAAGTTAGCGTAAATTTGTCATCTCGTACAAAATGATTTAAATGAATGATTTATACACGATACGAGGAATGTGCTAATAATAGTATTT